GGACGCTTAACCGACTGCGCCACCCAGGCGCCCCCCTAGAATCTTTAATATACACGTTTTAATTGGATGTGTACTAAGCAGAGAATTTAATGTTCACACATCCTTCATGGTGAGCTGACGTAGCCTAGCGTCCCATCGAATCTCTCCTCCATCAGAAGTCCGCGCTAACCCCTCTCTGCCAACCCCTCTCTGCCGTAACAGCAAAAATGAAGCATGTGGCTCAGGCAACCAGAGACTGCACTTCCAGAATGCAGCTCACTGTGCTGGCAGTGACAGCGGCCTGCAGCCTGTCTGGCCTGTCTGACGAAGGACAGACACATCTCACCTTCAGGGCGAGAGTTTGGAAGGCATTGCCTTGGCATTGCCCGCCTCTCTCTGTCTCTCTCACCCCGCCCCGCCCCACCCTGCCCTTTCCCTTCCCTTCCCCTCCCTCCCTTCCCTTCCCCTCCCTCCCTTCCTTCGACAGGAAGTTGAAACAGTTTTTGGTGAGTGAGGATGAGGTGCCCAAAATGCAGACATGCACCGGGCTGGTCTGAGAGGTGTCAGGTGGTGACACACAGAGAAAGGACGACCACGTTTGCTGCCTTTGTCTCCCGGTCAGCTCCTGGGCAGCAGGAGACCGTATGCAAGGCATCTGTACAAGATAGTCTTACAATAAGAGGGGATGTCAGTTCGTTGATAGTTTTACTTTGAGTGACATACTTGGTTTTCTTCGTTTAATGTTACTGCATCTGGAGTGAGCAGAGGGAGCTTATAATGATCCCGCAGCAGCTGATGACACTCCTAGAGGTGACATGAACAGGGAGGAGCGGCCAAGATGGGAGAGAACCTTGGATGCCTTAGTGTCTAGAGAAATTCTTTTACATCCTTTCCTTCTCAGATAAAAATGTGGGGCTTTCATGTGTGTTTGGTTTCGTTTTTTGGTGCCTTTCAGCCACTTACGGCTGTGCCGGCCTTGGCACATGACAGGTTTGTTTAGCGCAAAAGATCAGGGATCGATGGGGCAGGAAGTGATCTTCGGGTTCCGAGTGTTTCAGCTTAGCGACCTGCCCCAGCCCACGCTGTGCCTGACGGCCGCCTGGGGTGCACAGTGTCTGGCTTGTAAGGAGGTGGGGTCATGGTGTGAAGGAAAATGAGGTGTTATTAATTATAGCAAACTGCTAATACTACTTTATAAGTTGGTGAATTTCACAAAAGTTTTAAAACTCATTTCTTAGAAGCCAGTTGGAGAATTTGGGTTTCATTTTCCATATTGAATTAAAGTCCCTCAAGAAACTTATGATGGGATATGTACTAGGATTGTGTTAATAATCTGTAAGTTTCTTGAATTTACCATTGGAGTAAAATTTAAAACTTAAATACCTGACTTTCCTGAAACTGGCATTGAGTTAGCTTGGAAATCGCTTCATAACAAGACTTCCGCTGGGACCTCTGAGTTCTAAGGGTCATGACGAGCGTGTGAAAACGTACATTTCTTTGTGACCCCCGAGTCTCGCCGGCCTGGGTTAGAAGCCCAGGAGTCTGTGACCTCACAGGCTCCTGGGTGATTGGGGTGCAGCTGACCCCAAACGACCACGTGGCTGGCTGGCTTGTCTTTGTCGTGAGACATCCCTTTACCATCGCGGGAGGGGCTTTGCCGGGTCACGGCCTGGGCGGTCGTTTCTCTGACCCCGAGGCTGGCGTGGTGCCTCGTTGTCTCTAACTCTGTGGGGACTGTTCTCATCATGAATTCTTGTCACACTGACACCAGTAGTAAGTAGTACTGACAGTAGTCTAAGTATTGCTCTTAAAACTCGCTTCAGGTGAGGGGCCTGGGTGGCTCAGTTGGTTGAGCGCCTCTCAATTTCGGCTCAGGTCATGACCTCATAGTTCACGGGATCGAGCCCCAAGTCAGGCTCTGCGCTGGCGGCATGAAGCTGGCTTGGGATTCTCTCTCTGTCTCCCTTTCTGCCCTTCCCCCGTGCATGTTCTCCCTCTCGCTCTCCTCAAAATGAATAAACTTAAAAAAATACTTTAGCATGCTCTACCGACTGAGCCAGCCAGGTGCTCCTTCCGTACCTTTTCTGTTAAGAAAACAACAACAATAAACCTTCCACCAAAGCCATAAAAAAAAAATATTAAAAAACCAACCTCATTTTAGGCAGGAAAGCATTCAGTAGAAACTTCTGTAGCAGAGAAACCTTGATCCAAGGAGGAGTGGTTGCTGCAGCCCGGGGTGGGAGCCTCGTCCAGAGGGCGTGTCCAGAGGGGAGGGGTCACCCGTGGCCCCAGCGATGCTCATGTGGCAGCCAGCTCTCCAAGTTCTGAACCAGTGTCTTTTCCATTACAGTAAATTATGGACTTTTTATTTGCACATAAGTCTTTGTGATTGACCTGTTTTTAGAGGAATACCTGAGTCAGTGTTTACGGCCAAAAGAATGGTCAGCGGAGAATCAAGAAACGTGTCTGCTGGAGGGGACCAGAGGCACACATCTGACCCTTCTTGCCAGCCACAGTTTCTGTCATTAAAATGAAGATGATTCATTCCTTTTGCTTACCTTATGGGGGTCAAGGAGAAAAAAGCAGCTCATGTTGAATAATCGCCCTCCTCTCCTTTAGGGAACGCGTGTCAGCATCTTACGTGTGCTGGCGCATACGTGCGTGACCGGTGGTGGCGATTAAGGGCGGGGACTGCTGACAGGCTAACAGCTGGAAGCTGGTGTCTCACTCTTCCAGGTTCAGGAAATACCTTCTCCACCTTGTAGCCCTGAACTCGACCTGTCCCGTGTCCCCCAAAACAGCATCTGCCCGTCACTGTCATCTGTTCTTTGGGGAGCTCTGCAAGGGAACCAAAAGATACAATCCATTTTTATTAGTACAACAAAACATGTGACGTTAAACTTTCTTCCTGCTGTACGTCAGCACGATTTTACTGTGTGAATGGCCCAGGACTAGGTTTGGGGGGCGGGGGGTCCCTGGGGAGGAGGAGGACTGGCCGGTTCAAAGGGCGCCCCCACGCCTCTTGTATCCTAACATAAAGAGCCTTTCTTTGTCATCTGGCTTTGGCCACGAGGTAGGGTGCTTGTACTCTGTCCTCACTGCGTTTTTATTTCGGACAGACCCCTTACATCCATCACTTCACCGAGCTGCTGTCCAGCGCTGTGGGTGCACACAGCAGGACGGCTCGCCCAGGCTGTGTTTCTTCTGCGGGACAGCAGAGCTCACGCTGCACATCTGGGTCCCTGTTCTCACGGCCCTGCTGGTGGCGGTGCTGTCCCCTGAAGTGGGCCCCGTGGACACCCTAACGCTCCAGGCCGCTCAGGCCAGCTCACCGGAGCCCCACTAGGAATAACAGTACATTTGCCTGGCCTTACCTTCTGCTTCGGGCTCTCACGTAACTTGGCAGTGGTGGGCAACCGGTTGGTAACTTGTGGCTCCTTATTCCTGGTCACAGTTCACCTGATTCACACCTGTGGTTTTGTGGAAATAAGTGTTCGAGTATAAATGTACGTGGATGAAGATGAGCCGCTGATCACGCACGACACCTGCCTGTTCAGGGTTGGCGGGACACGCTGAGGGGACCGTGGGGCTTGATAGACGTGGGAGTGCTTACACGTGACCCTCCGTTCCCTGGATGGTCAGCAGGACAAGGGGCCACATTTGACCGAGAGAGGACGGGACAGGTTCCAGGTGGCGGAAGTAAATGTATAGCTCTCAGCTCCTGGCCCGTGACAGAGACTCTGGGGCGCCCCGCAGACGGCCTTGCTTGAGATCAGCCCTCCTGGTACAAGCAGGGGCGCTGACGAGAGCTGGTGAGGGAACCTGCGGAGTGGAAACAAGGCCCAGCACAGAAGAGGGGGACCTTTATTCCTGAAGGTTCTGGTCAGGGTTCCATACTCGGCCGTTTTGAATGTTCCCAAATGTAAGTCACTGGGTAAATTTTTCACGAGACCAACTTGATTCTTTGTTAAATCCGTTAAGTAGAGAGGGGAGAAAGGGGACAGTTTTCAACATAGAAATGAAGTCTGTGTCTTTAACGGTGGCGTTACTTACTATGACCTCTCTCTGGGGACCGCTGGCTCGCTCGGTGACTGGATTCGTCCAGTTGATCACGGTGGCAGGAACATTAGTAAGGAGTGGTGGGTTGTGTCCTGCTTTTTAATTTGAGTTATTTACGAACCCATGTTGTCAGAAGGACTTGCCTTCCCTTGAAGTAGTTCAGCTGCTAATGGGAATGTTATTTTCCCTGATTCTGCTTCTCTGACGGCCTGTCTTAACTCATTCCCAAATGAAAACTGACCTTAAAGTCACTGTGGTTCTTTTTGCTCCCATTTCAAGGTCGATGGTGCCACTGCTCCAGGTGATATCTCGGGGCTCCCCTCTGTCTTTGGAAGACTCCAATCGAATCATCCCTCTCTTCTACCTGTTCAGCTCTTTGTTCAGTCACTCGCTAATTTCCATACATGACAGTGAGTTCTTCGGGGACCCCATAGAAGGTAAGAGTTTTGAGGAATCTGGGTTGTTTTGGCTTCACTGCCTGTCTGTTTTCGTAGATGATAGAAAAGTTTTAAACCTCTTAAGCCTCTCACTGTGTTGAGAAATGAGAAAAAACAAGTATGATAGAATATTGAACTGTTTCTCAGTTGTAGGTCAGAGACAATCGTCAATGATGCCTTTTACCCTAGAAGAGCTGATAATGTTGTCTCGCTGCCTTCGAGATGCGTGCCTAGGGATCATCAAGTTGGCTTATCCAGAAACCAAGCCAGAAGTTCGAGAAGAGTATATTACAGCATTTCAAAGTATTGGGGTTACGACTAATTCTGAAATGCAACAGTGTATACAAATGGAACAGAAGCGATGGATTCAGTTATTTAAGGTATAGAATATGCGGGTGTGTGTGTGTGTGTGTGTGTGTGTGTGTGTTTAGGAGGTCACACAATGTACAAACATGTCCTGACTTGATTCATTTCATAAAAACGGAAGG